CGGGCTTGTCATCGCCCTGCGAGGGAAGGACAAGTCACGGGCCCGGCATCAGTGGCAGCAGGACCTTCTGCCCCTGGGAGACACCAGCACTGCTCCCACCTAACCAGGGCGTGCCTGCGCGTGGCGACCAGCTCCAAGAGTGCAGAAATGTGTGAGCAAACTGGGTCAAGAACAGGGGAGACCTCTCCAGCACCCCACGCCACAGGCTTTTATCCTTTCCAGCTCGGCCATCTCTTCCCTCCAGCCTTCCTGCAAAGATGCCTTGGAGTCATCAGCACACGAGCCCCCACAAAGGCCAAGAGATGCATTAACCTTGGCCAGACAATGGCACCTCGAAGGTCCTGCTTCTCTCTGCGCCCCAAAGAGAGCCCTGGCAAGCTCTGCCATCGTATCTCACGGAGGAAAGCTACACGTAGATCTAGATGAACTCCCACCTGCAACGACTCAACGGGAACACTTTTCTGGCTGCTTAATGGGCCATCTCTAACCCACCAACCCCTCCTTGGGGTCTTGTCTAATTGTTTTAGCTTATTCCCCTAATACTGCTCAGGCGACTGCTCTGTTTGACAGCCCTGGACAAGGAGAGACGAGAGCAGAGGTCCTGCCTCTCCTGGTTTTGCACAAGAGCAGGGGCTCAGCACGATCTGGATATGGGAGAGGTTTGGTACTCACATCGTCCAGCCTCCGATCGGTGCCCAAGGCGAGCAGGTTGTTGAACTCCCTCTCCAGCACTTGTCGAGCCTGAAATTAAAAATAAACAAGAATTTCCTAGTGAGGGAAACAGCTTGCAGCACAAACTCCCATCCTGGGAAAGCCCCAGAATGACCGAGAGAAGCCCTCGGAGCGCTCCGCTTGGACGGGCAGAGTTGGAGTCAAAAATCCCTCCAAAATCCCTCCGGGGCTCTGCTCTGACCTGCGTGTTCTGCGTGGGGATTTGCAGCACGAGCGCCAGGCTGTTGTGGTCGAAGTTCTCGTCGAGGGCCAGCAGCGCCCCGTGCACGCCGCTCTCCACGAGGTTGTTGGCGTACTCGCGAAGCCCGATGGACTGGATCCAGTGAATGACTTGGTCGTTGGTCCACACCAACACGTCTGCAAGAGAGCGAGGGCACGGCTTCAGGGCCAGCTCAGAGCACGTTTGTGGGTGCGTGGGGACCTGCCAATGTCCTGAAGCCCTCCCAGGCCAATCCTGGGGCTCTCCCTCCCGAGCCGGCAGCGCTACCGAGTGCTCAAGTGGCAGGAACAGCTCACGTCAATTTACCCAACTAAATGCTGAAATAACAGGCAGAAAACAACTGTGAAAATCAATCCTAAGAACCCACGGCTGCTGGTGTAATTAGGGGCATTATCAATAACGAGATGTAATCTAAGCAGCAGCCAGATGCAGGGGGAATCTCAGGACAGGCAGCGAGGAAGGGGAGGCTGAGCAAGCCAGGAGGCGTCCTGAGCGTCTGAAATGGGCAGGAGGAGATGATCCAATGCTCGGGTTGGACCTTTCCTGTTTCGACAGCCTTCCTGCCTCCTCTTGCCTGACTGGGCTAAGCTGCACAAAGGCGCTTGGAGCAATCTGTTGGGGAAACACTGCAGGGAGGTTCCCCCTCCTGAAGAACAGCCCCGGTGGCGTGGTAGCTCAGAAATAATGATTTTCCCTAGGCAAACGCTGTGTTAAAAATCAGGGATGGCAGAGAGAGACCGTCACTGGGCATCTCTAGGGAGGTTTCTCATCTCCTTTTGCAGAGCTGGATCGGGTGTGTGGCCGCTGACCTTTGATTTCGTGCTGGGTCTCTTCTCGCCTCCTCTCGAGCTCTTTGCGGTCGTAGTTGAGCCTCTTGAGGCACATGATGCCGTACTGCAAGCTGGTGCTGCAAGGACACAAGACATCACCCAACCCTCAGTGGCTCAGCAAGGTGGGGCAGGTGGCTTGGAGGGACCCGAGGAGGGACCCATATCCCTGCTTGCTCTCCACGTGCCCAGAGGATGCTTCGGTTCAGGGCTGGGTCAGGACAGACACAACCCAAAGGCAATATTGTGGCCGCAAAATGGGGCATGTCCCTCCCTTCCGTGGTAACTCCAGGCTGAAGGGTCTATCCCCAGAGCAGGGAAGGGCTTGGCAAGCCCACGGACACAGCCCCATGGGTCGGGGTGGGTGGTGGTACCCCATGGCAAGGCTGGAGACTGGTGCTTGAGCAAGGTGGCTGGGGTGGCATAAGCCTTCTCCAAGCTGGGCTGCTGGCAGGTGACTGCCAGTGGGATATCAGGTGGGATGAGCCTTGATTTTTGCTCCAAAGGCAGAAGAAGGCATGGTCCTCCGCAATTTTGCAAGGATGCGATGAAGGAGAACGTTTGCCCATATGAGGAGCCCCAGCCCAGGTGCCTGAGTTGAGCCTAGAAGAGTCACCCTCCAGCACCAGCGGAAAAACCCCTCCAGTTGCCCCATCCTCTGCTCCACGTGCCGACACTGCACCCCAGGGTGCTCCCGAAGGAGAGGGCTCACCGGTGGAAGCTGTCCACCATCTTCAGGTGCACTCTGAGATCTTTCTTCGTGAGGTGGTCCAGCATCCGCGCGTCAACGAGACACTCCATGAAGTAGCTGCGATACTGCGGGAGACCCAGGCTGGGCAGCCACTCGTTCCCAATCCACTCGTGGTTCATGTCCCCATAGGCCAGGGTCTGCGGAGAAGCAAACGGAGAACGTTGGGAGAAACCAGGGCTTGGGGGAGCTGCAGAGTGCCAGGAGACCAGCGACAGTGCTGGGGGGTCACTGTCCTGAGGATCGAACCAGCCAGAGGAGTTTATTTCTAGTTTGTACAGCAGGAGCTGGAGAAGACAGTCCTGTTGGCCATGGCCTGTGTCCTGCTGACGTCCCCCAAGGAGACAAGGCAGTAGCCAAAAAGCAAGTATAAGGGGTAGCTGGACTTTACGATCAGCTTCTTCTGGAAAAATCACATTCAGGAAAGCTGAAACAACTAAGGAAGAGGTTTCGGTGAAACTTAAACTGATGTTGAAGAAGCTTGGAAATCACCGAAAGATCTACTTTATGACTTCAAAAAAAAAAAAAAAAGTGAGTTTCGGGCAGAAAAATAACCCATTCACTTTCACTGGAAGTTGATTCTGGGTCCAAAACCAAAATACAAACCACCAGAAAAGGAAAACATTTGAGACTGATAAAACCACAAGAGATGGATCCAAGCAGGACTCTTTCCTCCCACCTTTACAGTTCATGCAAACGGTGTATATCCTGAACTTGGGGCTAAAAAAAAAGGTAAAAACAACATCTGTGCAGCTAGAAACCTGACACAGGGCGGCCGGTTGCTCGGGGGTTTTTGCGCAGGATCTGTGTCTTATAGATCCCAGAAGAAGTCACCCTGCCTGAAGCAGAGAAGGATGACACAAGGTCACAAGAGGATTTCCCTGTACGTGAAACACGGCTCAGGGGGACCACAGGGTTGGGTTAGACCCCAACACAAACCCGTCGAGCGCCGTCGCCCTAACGTTTTCTCCCCGGGTGCCCCGCCACGTCCAGCTCCCCCTCCCGTCACCACCCCGCGCGCGGGAAAGGGACCTCACCTGTGCCCAGCTGCCTTCCTCCGTGTCCTAAGCGTGACACGTGCCGCATGTCAACAGAAAGGACACGTCAAGTCAGTACCCGGCGGCCCCGCATCGCGACAGCACGTGCCTTGAGCGCCCAGTGCGGGAGCCTCCGGCACGGCGGGACCCACAGGGGGTGGGGGTCGGTCTCCCACAGCTCGGGAAGCTCAGCCTTGGTGACGGGGTGCTGGGGACACCTCGACCCTGCTGGGTCAGGGTTTCAGCCCCTCTCTCAGACAAGCACGGGTGAGGCTTTTCTGATGGATCAGGAATGGTGGTGTCAGCAGGAGCA